ATATGCACATGGTGACGTACCACAAAAGATCGCACCGATAAATGCTTCATGATGAGATACGGCAGCGTCAGGCGCTGTTCCGCTTGCTACTATAAGTTCTCCTTTAGCGACAGCTGCACGTACACGCCCAGCCATTACTTGTATGGTCTCTTCCTCGCAATGCACGGGTTCATCGTTCACTATGGAATAGATTATGTCGCAATGAACAGACCAGATCCACAACGTTGTCTTTATTAAGCGACCTAGCGGTGGTCACTTAGCGTCAATGATGCCACTAATGCGACGATTGATGGATATACGCAGGTTACATTGAATGAACCCGTGGCATGACATTGAAGGCAGCGCAAATGCATTTTTCGTGACAAACTATCAATCTCAGCAGAAACACGTAACTGTTGTAGCAGATAGCATTACTGAACTATTTTGTTGTACGTAATGCCCGGTAACAGCTGATAAGACGTTGCGCATCGGCTGATTCAACCCATTGTATCAGCCAAGTCCGTCACTGACTAGTGGTAAAAGAGGCACATATGAGCGGTGGACTGGTTTGTCAAAACGCAATTTTGTACTTGGACTTGTCTTAGGATACGTTGCAACAGATTCTTTAAGTAAGGCTCAAATTGTGGCAACATCGTTCTCTTTTTTTACCCCCATTACATGATGCGTTTGATTGTCGGCGCCCCTTCCTACCCAAGCGTTTACGTGAGGTCTTGAGGTACCTGTGTGCACTACTGCAAGCGTGTATTGCTTACACTACCATCAAACTATGAGTAAGGTGATTCATTACAATTTGTGGCTGTAATTAACAGCTTTGCGCTTGTAGTAGGCAATAAATAGCCTTGGCGATGAAGCAGATTGACACGCGAAGAGAGGTGAACAGTTGTGTGTGTATGGCAAAAACCAAAGTAACATCGTTTGTGTTATCTGTTGGATGCAATTGACGTGCGTGTAGCACGAGGAGGAACGCTTTACGCGGAAAACCTCCTTTCGACCATCACGACTCCTGCCGACCCCGTCAATCTATCACTCAATCAACAAGTCACACATCCCTTGAAGTTGTTGGTCATCCCCAGTCTATGTTCTGCATGACCAGGCGCTTCTTGACCGCTGATGCACAGAAACGTGAGCTTCTCCATCCCCAGAGACGTTCAGGGATTTGCTCACAGGTGGTGTCAAGTACGTCCATTATAATGATAACTAACGACTGATAAGTGTGACAAGAAGTACGGCCCGGGTATCGGGTCGACAACTAAAGGGCTCCGTAGAGCCAGGGGCGACGGCAACGAGGTCAGAGACCCTCCTACCGAAGCCAACTACGAGTCAATCATGACCGCTGGCGCGACCAAGTAGACTGGGGACATGCGTACCGCCGGAGCGGCAGCACGTACAACGCGGGTATGCTGCCATATAAGGCAACAAACCCCTTTAGGACCGCTTGCGCGGCCCCCGACGTGGAGTGCGAACACCGAAGTGACTGCGTGGCGTGGAGATCGCCAACCCGCCGTCTATCTCTCCGAGGAGCTCAACCATCTGCGATGGTGGCTCCCTTCAGCCGCTTGCGCGGCCCCCGACGTGGATTGCGATCACCGAAGTGACTGCGTGGCGTGGAGAACGCCAACCCGCCATATATCTCTCCGAGGAGCTCAACCATCTGCGATGGTGGCCCCCTTCAGCCGCTTGCGCGGCCCCCGACGTGGAGTGCGATCACCGAAGTGACTGCGTGGCGTGGAGAACGCCAACCCGCCGTATATCTCTCCGAGGAGCTCAACCATCTGCGATGGTGGCCCCCTTCAGCCGCTTGCGCGGCCCCCGACGTGGAGTGCGATCACCGAAGTGACTGCGTGGCGTGGAGAACGCCAACCCGCCGTATATCTCTCCGAGGAGCTCAACCATCTGCGATGGTGGCCCCCTACAGCCGCTTGCGCGGCCCCCGACGTGGAGTGCGATCACCGAAGTGACTGCGTGGCGTGGAGAACGCCAACCCGCCGTATATCGCTCCGAGGAGCTCAACCATCTGCGATGGTGGCCCCCTACAGCCGCTTGCACGGCCCCCGACGTGGAGTGCGATCACCGAAGTGACTGCGTGGCGTGGAGAACGCCAACCCGCCATATATCTCTCCGAGGAGCTCAACCATCTGCGATGGTGGCCCCCTTCAGCCGCTTGCGCGGCCCCCGACGTGGAGTGCGATCACCGAAGTGACTGCGTGGCGTGGAGAACGCCAACCCGCCGTATATCTCTCCGAGGAGCTCAACCATCTGCGATGGTGGCCCCCTTCAGCCGCTTGCGCGGCCCCCGACGTGGAGTGCGATCACCGAAGTGACTGCGTGGCGTGGAGAACGCCAACCCGCCATATATCTCTCCGAGGAGCTCAACCATCTGCGATGGTGGCCCCCTACAGCCGCTTGCACGGCCCCCGACGTGGAGTGCGATCACCGAAGTGACTGCGTGGCGTGGAGAACGCCAACCCGCCGTATATCGCTCCGAGGAGCTCAACCATCTGCGATGGTGGCCCCCTACAGCCGCTTGCACGGCCCCCGACGTGGAGTGCGATCACCGAAGTGACTGCGTGGCGTGGAGAACGCCAACCCGCCGTATATCGCTCCGAGGAGCTCAACCATCTGCGATGGTGGCCCCCTTCAGCCGCTTGCGCGGCCCCTTGACGTGGAGTGTGCGCTCGCCGCAGCGGCGACACGTGGCGCGGGGTACGCCTCCAGTCCGTAAAACACCCCTGCTAGGGCCGCTTGCGCGACCCGTCGGTCTCCTACGCCCACACCCGCGACTGCGAGTGCAGCGTGCGCGCGTCAGATCTTCGGCCACGTCGGCTCCCCAAGGGGAGGATTCCCTCCGACGTGACGGCCCCGAAGGGAAAAAGACTGGCTTGAGCTGAACCGTGAAAATTTGGGAATGGGATTTGCTCACAGGGCAATGTCCTACCGAGCGAAAGAAGAATGTGTAATTGTCATGCAATGGCTTTCGGAAATATGAAGGTATGTGATAGCTGCATGTGATGCTGCAAACAGCACCGATTGCGCCAAGAACAGTGATCGTGTGCCACCCGGCGCGATAGCAGTCCACTGGACACTTGGCTCATGTGCTTCAGCCAGCTTTGCACAACAACGCTATTCGTGGAAGCAACGCTCGCACTCATGTGTGTAAAAACGATGACTTGTCATCGAACTGAGGCCACTGACACGTATCTCGGCTTTGGTGCCGGGGTGCCTAAGACAAGCTTATGAAGTATCTGCATGTTCTTTGGTGAATGCAACATGTCGGCCAGCACCAGCACGGCCCTTGTTACAACTACAGGTTGCTTCAGTTCAAGTAAGACTGACTTATGGTTTGTAGTATCAGAACCAACAGTCACCACGGACAGAGCTGACAATACTATTCAGCTAGTCGCAAGCAGCACTTTGACGGCAAAGTAAAACCGTGATAGCGGCCAGCGACAATGAGGTAGTTGATCGCTGGTCTCTCTATGAGTTGAGTCAGTCCCGTGTGTGTTTATGTGTAAATGCATACGCATGTTGCTAGCAATGGATCACCGAGGGATGGGTAGAATAGAGAATCAAGACAACAAATAAACGGTCCTCGGATAGTGTGCCACCTGCTTATACAGTGGATATGTCAAGGCGTGTAATGTTATGTGCCTAGTTGACCCCATGTGACCCAAGCTCCTGATGGAAAACCATGTTCAGTCAAGGTGGTAGAGGGACACGGACGCGGTCAGAATCGGTAGTCGCAGCCAAATGAGCCGGGGTCGTCACTCGCCTAGAGTCGTTGACCGCCTCAACTGCATGTACAGACCGCCACCTGCCGTCGGTGAACATGGTATTCTTCGATAGGGTCTCACAGAACGCGTGCTAGCACGGAAAACGACGCACCGAACAACAATAACTCGATGATGGAAGATCCGGACGCTACGACGGCCCCCGCACTCGAGTTGACTCGGACAACGAATATCGCTGCCACCACTCTGACCTTACTATCGACCACTGAGAGCAAGACGTGGACTCATCGACAGTTGTTAACAAGGCCCGAACTACCGCGGTATGGTAGTTTGTTTCTGTGGACAGGGATCGCCGTCGGGTGCAATGGACAGACTTGGTCACCTCATATCGTAGAATGGTGTTGAGGATAGCGTCATGTCGATCCGAACTTGTTCTAGTGTCTAATTGACCCCAATACTACGGCACTTGCTTGTCATTGCTTCAGTTTATTCACTCGGTTCTTTTCAACCGATGTCGGTGACATATGCTTCAACACTTTCCGTATCCGCTCCTACCCGTATACCTCTTGTCCATTCAGACTGCTGTCGCGATCGACATGCGCACAGTCATCGACCACAACACAAACGACAGACACCTAGCTGACCATTGGTATACCCAAGTGGCGATTGTATCAATTATATAGGCCCGTGCTGTAGCTCATGGCAAGCAGCTCTTGGTGTCGATTGTGTCAAGCAGAAAGTGAGCCGAGCGTTGTGTACTCACTGGTGTTGCAAACTGGCAAACGACAGACAATTGAGAATGGAATCCGTGCTCGCGTGATCGACAGCAGCCTCGCTTACTGAACGAAACTAGGTCAGTGTAGACCCATAGAGAAAGAAATAACATACGAGCTGCAACAGCGGAAGAGCGAGGCACTAGTGCAAAAAGATGACTTGGTGTGCGAAGTGGCCATGCAAATCGAAAGAGTACTGACGAGACCGCCGTCATTTCCGAGGCACATGTATGCTGAATCATATACCGCTTGTACGAAAGTCCGTCCAGATGAAAAAGCTTTGTGGTTCGTTGGAACACTTCGCATCACATCGGCATGCAACTGCTCGCCATCGGCTTGAGCTCGCCTAGCAAAACTGCTACCTATCTTGCCCAACTCTCTATCGCCACGAAATCCTGGACCGCAGACCTGCGGTAAGCATTAGCTTCACAACACAACCACTTCATTCAAATGCGCATATGCTGCCATCTTGTGAGTCAACCGTGTCCTCTGTATTCGTCTATGTCACTTTGTCAGTATCGTCTTCACTTCGTTGTACATCTGGGGTCCAGTCTAAGGCGCGCTCAATATCGGCAGCAGGCTGCCACCACTCGAGAAATACCACGTACAAGTGCAATATAGCAGCAATGATGCAAGCCAACAGTCCTGCCACTGGACCGATTCCGTAGTACAGCTGCAGGCGATGGAGCAAAGAGCTGTCCGGAAACGCACACACTTTTTCGTACACCTTTTCCGTTCGCATGGCAACAGCATCCCAATTATACATCGTCGCGACACGGTCGTGAAAGGCCTGTCGATTGACACTGGCAAGTCGTGGCACAGCAGCTAAGACCGCCTGCGCCAGCGCCTCGGGTGTAATATCCGCCGCAAACTGCACCATATCAGGCGGCAACACTTCAGGCACGCCACCCACCCGCGTGCTCACGACAAACAACCCACAAGCTGCTGCTTCGAGAATGGCAATACAAAAACTCTCTGTCAACGAGCTGTTGAGGAAAATGTGTCCTTGACAGAGCACATGCCGCACCTGCGCGTGCGGCACGGCTCCATACAGCGTCACGCGATCATGCAGTCGGTACTTCTCTCGCATTTCTTCCAGCAGCAGCCGCTTGGCGCCGTCTCCACCAATTAGAAACCGCACGCGCGGGTCCTGGGCACACACGCGCGGGATCGCTCTTGCCACGAGGTCGATCCCTTTACGATAAACGAGCCGCGAAATAATCACAACAGTGATGCACCCGTCGTCCACTTGACAGTGTCCACTCTCTGGTGATGGCGGCAAAAACTTGGTCGCGTCCACGGCATTGGGAATGGTCGCAACTTTCTCCGGCCGCAACGACGCTCGGAGCACCAAATTCTCGCGACACGTGTGCGACACGCCAATGGCCGCGTCGACGGTCGACATGGAGAACTTCATGACTTTGTTCAAGTGGACACTTGCGGCGTCGGCAAAGCCAAAGAGCGAGTGGTCCGTATATACGGTTTTGATACCCAGTGTTAGGCTTTTCGCCTGCACGAGGCACTCGTGCATAAACGTTGACGTCGCTTGGTGGCCGTGGACTATCTGTACCTTCTCGCGCACGCAAATGGTCCGAAAAAGCGCCACGTGATTCACAAAAGTGGGGTACGTGACATTGTCGACAAGCGCCGTGATTGGTAGATAATACACTTTCAGGCCGTGGGTCATGTACCGCACACCCGCGCGGGGCCGTGGGCCTGGGACGGCGTGCGTGAGCACAATGACCTTGTGGCCGCGACGGAGAAGGCACTGGGCGAGCGACCAGATGTGCATCTCGACACCGCCCAAGCGAGGGAAGAAAAAGTCGCAGCACATGGCGATGCACAATCGTCGGTCGGCCATTGCGTGTGTGCGTGTCCCGTTCGGTGTGTGTGTGTGTGACGAAACGTGCACGTTGGTAGCGATAGGGGTTAGTGTTAAGGGGGGGGGGGGTACGACGGTCGAAGTCGCTTAGTGCGTTTCCAGTTGCTTTAAACGCCCGAGAGTCGGTCGACGGTTACCTGCTGCTGCTGCTCTATTCGCACGACGTGCTGTTGTTCGCAATGGTTATTCCCCCCAACAACAACAACAGCGTCCTCTTCATTTAGCCCGCAACGAGCTCTAACTTTTGCTACGATACCGTAACGGGGGTACGAAAGCATCCGTCCGTCCGTGCATACCTACTGCTGCTGCTGAGGCACCACCGACCGCTTCGCTACTGACTGCCACTCGACGTGGCTTTGGCCGCAACAATCGCCGCCAGGGCTGACCCGAGCGACGCGGCTGACGACCACATGCTCGAGCTCTCGCCGTTGACGCGCGTGAAAAAGTGGCGCGTGTCGCCCGGGGCCGCAGGAAATCGCTTGTACGCTTGCGACTCGGTATACTGTCGACACGCAGTGAGCCCGTGGCGCCGTGCCAGCGTGAACAGGTCAACCACTTGGTCGAGGTAGAACCATCCGCTGCAACGCGTTGCTCGTCGATCGAGCTTGACAAAGAACGCCGCCCCGAGCTCTTCAAACACGAGCGGCAGCACGCGGTGCTCAAAGAAGCTCTGCGCCCGTCTTTGGCGACCACGTCGCTCGTTGTGAAGCGCAGGCGTGCGGGAACAGGAGAAAGGGGCCCAGAACTTGCGCTCCCACACTGCTCGCGCATGACTCGTCCAGAACTCGAGCAGCACGTGGACCAGCTTTGGGTACCGGACCCGCGAAAACGGCATCGAGAGCGCGTCGGGCTTGAACACCCGCTTCCACGGCTGCTTCTCCTCCATCTGCCCCATGATCGCTACCACGCGCTGTCGAACGTCGTCGACCGCAAGCGATGGCGGCACCAGTGGCACTGGCGCAGTCGATCGCCCACTCACTCCATTCGCCTCGTGCTCGTTTCCACGGCCATCGGTCGCCCCATCGATCGCATCGACTGCTCCACTCGTGCTCCATTGCTCTCGCGTCCGCTTCCGCCCTCTCGTTGTCCGAACAGATACCGACGACGTCCGTTCCATTGGGGCGTCGACCCACGTCGTCACCTCTTGCGTGGCCGCCGTCGTCGACGCTTCGGCCCCGGCCCGCAACGCCTGTACATCCACTGGAAGCACACAGATCGCCGCGTCGCCGCGCTGCACAAACGCTCGCAAGAGCGTATCGTCGCCCGTGCAAAACTCGTCCAGCAGCTCGCGCAGCCACAAGATGTTCTTCGTCGCGACGCGCGCCCACAGGAAGCGGAAGACACACGCGCGTGGGGTCGTGTGTTTCATTGGCCCCCGACGATCAGCAGCAGCGACGGAGCTGACCCGCGGCATGTCGTCGTGCGCCTCCGTGTGCTGCGTTTGTGCCCGTAGTACGTGCGCCGCCGCCTCTCGGGCCCGCGCAGCTGTCCGCTCAAAGGGCATAATCGATATGACGGTCGCGCCCAGTCGCATAAAGGCCACGAGCGTATGGTCGTTGCCGGCGGCGTAGTCGCGCAGGATGCGCCGCAAGAGCAGCAGACTCGTCGTGTGGAGGCGCAGCTCCAGATAGTCGCAGAAGCGCAGCAGCTGCGGCAGCGACGCCATCGCACGGGCAGCAAGTGGACGACGGAGCCGGTGGACGATGCAGAGTGGGTGGGTGGTGGATACTTGATCGAGAGAGCGATTGGGTGGGTGGGTGGTGGATACTTGATCGAGAGAGCAATGGTGGGTGGGTAGCCCTTTGGTGTGGACTAAGTTAGGGGTCGAAAAATAGAGCGTGTGCGGGTTGCTGGTGACGGTGTAGACGACGAGGTATACAGTTGAAGACGCTGGTTACGATCGCAGCCAGCAGTGTTTATGATTAGAGAGCGAGAGCGTAAGCCGTTTTGATGGTGGATTGATTGTCGCGATGAATGGGGACAGATGCTTGCGGTATCGTGATGACGTCGATTGGGCCGAGCGAGTGAGATACGGGTCGATCGATCCACACGTGACACGAGTGAGGCTGGAGATACTGCTCTCTCAGTCAACCCGTCCACGAAGGGCAGGAGGTGCCTTGTCATGCGGAAAAGGGAGACTGGAGGATGCGCACATCAATGATGGCATCATGTCGGTGAACTGGACCATGACGAAGTGCGAGTCGACGGTCTTCATCGAGCGTTGTGCGTACAGACTCAAAGTCCGCAGCTCGATGCACTCGACCGAGAAAGATCCACACAACACGATGGCGGCGGTGTTCGGGTCGGCTAACATCGCGCTGGACCCTACACGAGGGGTATCGACAAGTGCAGAAGGTAACCGAACTACTCTCGAGGACGCTCGCAAGATAACTCGCCAACGACGGCCTGATGTCGACTTTCGCACGTCTGATGATCGCAGCAACATGGTACGGTCTGCTCGGCGGTAAAAGGTGTATCATCATCATCTACTTTCAGAAGGGTTTCGAAACCGCATCTTGGGGAATCAGTGGAGCTCGTAGCATCGGCCTCTGATCGACATTACGTTGATCGGACGTGTCCAAATGTATCGCACTGTCTATCATTCACTCGCGTTCTCCCTCGCTCCTCACCTCGACGGTCCTGATGTCCACACACTGTGACGGGTCAACTCGCTTTCGATAAAGCGTTGTTTCAGCACATCGATGTGTTGTAAAAACGTCATGGAAACGATACTATCTACTCATGGCAACCTCTGAGGACAATGACGTCGGTCAATACATTGTCCAGCGCCATTAATTGCAAAGAGGTCCCGATCGTGTCCCGAAGGAGTGCCCATCACCAGTCCACCATCCAGCTGTCGCTCGCTCGCTCGCTCGCGACCCCTATGAAGACGCCCAAAACAGCAGCCCCGTCCACACGCGCCTGTCGCCTAATTTGGGTTCTCTCTTCGCCTATCGCGGTCGTCCCTCGAGCCGACGTCGCTGCGCTCTCATTGGCTATAAGGGCCACGCGACGCCGCCACTCGCGCAACATTCCATCCGCCGCCCCGCCCCATGAGCAAACCCGACGACGCGACCGCCGCCGCGCCCGGCGACAGCGACGACGGCCACGCGCGCGCCCTCGCGCAGCTCCACGACCTCCAGCGCCAACACGCGGCGCGGCAGTCGCTGCGCAGCGCCAACAGCGCCGCGTCCGTCGCGTCCGTGCGCGCCGAGCGCTCGAGTCTCAAGCTCAAGTCGGACATTAAACGCTCGTCGGCGTTTGTGAAGAAGCTGCGCGTGTTGACCGAATGTAACGCCGACGCGCTCTTGCGCGACGCTGCCGAGCTGAACCTCACGCGCTACGTGAGCGAGTGCGTGACGGCGCTCGCGGACGCGCCGTTCAAGCTCGTGGACCTCCCGGCCGTGACCAAAGTCGCGTCGCAGCTGCACCAGCGCTACGAGGACTTTGCGCAGGCGCTCGTGCGCGCGTTGGTGCAGAGTTTCGACGCGCTGTACGCGTCCGAAGACAGGGGCAAAATGCTGCGCCGGCGGCTGATATTGCGGCTGCTCTGTGAGCTCTACTTGGCCGGCGTCTGCGACGACGTGCACGTGATTGCGCACCTGGTGCAGCGGGTGGCCCGACGCGAGCCGCCAGTGGGTCTTAAACGCGGCAAAAGCAGTGCGCTGCTGGGCGGCAGTCTGTTGTCGGCCACGTCGTCGTCGTCGTTGCCGTCGTCGCAATTGGAAGTGCCACTGCTCGTGAGCTTTGCCAAGTCGGTTGGCGTCGAGTTTCTCGGTGTGCAGCCCAAGAAATGGAAAGAGATGGCAAACGTACTGACGGACCACAAAGAGTCGGTGCAGACAGTGCTGCAGAGCTGGACTGCGATCGTGCCCGCGAGCGTCCAAGTCGAGTGTCGCAGCTGTCTCTACGACGCGTTCGAGATGATTGGCAAGTTTTACGTGGCGCAGCACACGACCGTGTGGAAGTTGGAAGCCAGGAACGAAAAAGAGGAAGCGAATCGTGGCGAAGTCGCGGAAGATCACGTGCAAGAGCTGAAGAAGGCCAAGCTGTTGTTTGAAAAGCTGCAGACGAGCGTCAATGCGCTCGCGGACGCGCTGGATCGCGAAGTACCGCCGCTGCCAGTGGAAAAGAGGGACGATGGCTCGGGTCGTGGAGAGATCCTCGTATGGGAAGGGGGAGAAGGGGGAGGACGCGAGTCGGGTCGTGGTGGACCGTTTGACGACGAAGCCACACGCTCGTTCTACGAGGATCTACCTGATCTGCTGGAGTTAGTCCCTGCTGTTGTGCTTGGACTCACAGAGGCCGATGTCGCTGAATTGAGGAGAAAGAAAGAGACGTTGGTGCACGACGAAGCAGAGACAGAGAACGGACTCGACGAAGTTGAGTCTCGCGTCGACGACGACGACAAAGAAGTTGGAGGAGCAGGCGATGCACTGGAAAGTGCAGAGACGGACGCCACTAAAGATGTTGTAGTGACCGATATAGACGGGGACGAGAGCAAATCGAAGGACGGGATCGATAGCACAAGCGTTCCTGTGGCGTCGTCAAGTGGAGCAACAAGCAGCTACCATCATCAATTGGATGCGTTTTTCGCTTCCCTTGAAGATTTGGTGAACCGGGATCGCTGTGATAAGGCAGCGGTTGATTTTTGTTACCGTAACTCAAAGGCAAATCGAAACCGACTCGTGAAGACTCTGTATGCTGTGCCGCGAACGCATCTCGAGTTGCTGGCCCACTACGCACGTCTAGTGGCTACGCTGCAGAGCGTGCTAAAGGAGGACATTGGCGGCGAGCTTGTAAATATGCTTGTGGGCGAGTTCCATGGTCTGATTAAACGACGCAACCAATTTCGCCTGGAATCGAAGATCAAGAACATCCGTTTCTTAGCAGAACTGGTGAAGTTTCGGATCTGTCCACCGAATACAGGGTTTCGGTGTTTGCAAAAGTGCTTCCAGGACTTTCAGGGGCATAACGTCTATGTCGCTACAACGTTCCTGGAGAATTGTGGCCGCTTTTTATACTGCTCCAAGCACACGCACGTACGCACGGTAGCTTGCTTAAATGTAATGATGAAGCTGAAGGCAGCCAAGCATTTGGATCCACAACTGGAAACTCTTGTGGAAAATGCGTACTATATGTGTAAGCCTCCCGAGCGTGTGGAGCGTCAAGTGAAGCAATACGACCCGATGTATTTGTACTTGATCAAGGTGTTGTACCACGATTTGGATGGCTCAAATATCAACAAAGTTGGGAAAACGCTTCGCCGGCTTCCATGGCAAGATGGCACTGCTATCGGAATGGTATTGAAGGCTATGCTAAAGGTGACAAAGGGCAAGGTGATGCAAATGAAATGGATATGCGAATTGGTGAAGGCCATCTCACGGTATCATGATGATATACTGGTGCTTCTGGTGGACAGTGTGCTGGAATATATTCGGTTCGGACTGGAAGTGAACGACTACCGCGATCACCAGCGGAGCCTTGGATACATTAAGCTACTGGGAGAGATGTACAACTGCGGGCTTGTGAGCATGAACGTATTGGACGAGACACTGTATCTTCTGATCAATCATTCGCACGACTTGCTGACATTGCCGCAATATAGCAGCGACAAGATTTCTGCTGCCCATTTGATGGAGATGAAGAAGCGTTTCCTCTTGGTTCCTGACATGCGGTACGATCCTCGCGTACCGAGTGAAGTCGACGGTCCGAGCGAAGTGTTCCGTATTCGTTTGGTCAGTGCCTTGATCGAGACATGCAGCGGCGGTGGACTTGCAAGCATAGCGAGTTCAAACGAAAGAGGAATCTCTCGACCCCGACTCGGTCGGTTCATGGTCTTCTTTCAACGATATCTCTTATCCAAGACGGACGTACCGATTGAAACCGACTTTGTTGTGTCTGACCTATTTGATCTGCTCGCCACCACATTGAAAGACTATTTTGTGAAGTATGATACGTGGGAGGCGGCTGATCAGGCCGTCCAGACGATTCTTCGTGGCGACCTGGAAGAAGCAGAGCACCGGCTGTCGAAAAAGAATGCGGCGTTGCTGATGGCTACCAACGGCCTCGAGAGCGTGGCAGAAGAGAGAGGATGTATGTCACAGCCAGCTGACGAGGATGAGGAGTTTTGTGAAGATGAGGAGGACGATTCAGATGACGGCGAGGATGACGATGATGATGACGACGAACATGATGACGACGAACAGGCTGAAGGAAATGGCGGTGATGAGGATGATGAAGATGAAGACGACGACGACGATGATGACGACGACGACGACGAGGATGACGAGGAAGAAGACGATGAGGAAGAGGAGCGCCTTATTATCCACGACCGCATTCAGAAGAACGAAGAGGACGAAGAGTTTGAAAAGGCGTTCAGGTCAATGATACACGGAACTTCTGACACGCGCAAGCCTGCGGCGAGAGTGAATGTTGACAAGATGGCTATTCCCACTGTCGTGAAAACGTCAGCTGCGCCTACAGCCGCAGGCTCTCGAGGAGTATTGTCTTTCGATGCGAACGGGTCCACCGATGGCGTGGTGTTCCGCATGCTTCGTCGTGGCAATAAAGGCAAAGTGGAGGCGCGCGCTTTGGTCGTGCCGGAGACATCGTCTCTAGCTCAGCACAGTCACCGCCAGGAAAACGCTGGCAAAAAGGAGCAGTCTGAGCTGAAGCGACTTGTGCTGCAAAACATGGAGCGCGATGATTTCATGAGTGACGGGCCTCCCATCGAGGGCGTTCCTAGTCTCGGCCCTCCTGTCCACAGCAACGTGAACCAGGGCAATCACGGGGCAGGGCAGCAAGCTGACGATGCTCGGTTGGGGTTTGGCGGCGGCAGCGAGTGGAACAATGCGGAATTTGGTCTACGACGGGGCAAAGGGTACCGTGGCGTCAAGTAAGTTGCGTGTGTGGCGAGTGTCGGATGTAGCATGATCTGGAGCATCACTGGTGTAGGCAGAGCTCTGGAGCTTCACCAGTGCACGTCACATACGTCTCCTCTTCAGAACGGCTTCAGCCTGAAGCAAACGCGCTTTGGAGGGAATTTGCTGACTTTTGCAAGACAAAGCCATGTGACTGACTAGCCAGTGCTTCATGGGGAGGCTGGATGCTTCTCCTAGTGCGCGCAGATCAAGTGGGGCCCAGATCACAAGTACGCAGTGTATGTATGGTTTGTAGCGAAGGGAGCGACGACTCGGCTCAAGCAGCGAGGAGTGCCGACTGTCGGCATGTAAATGTAGTGCTGTCGTGGTGGAAGGTCGCACGCGGACTCGTACCACACGTGAATGGCGTACACAACGCTAGACGGATTGAAGAGGACGTCAGCGAACACACGTGTGCGCTAGCTATGCCAACATTGCGTGCTAGCAACGATGCACTCATCGCCGATGCCATGCGCGATGCAGCGGTGGCGTTCACTGGCGTGAAACGATCTAATGGAACAAGTACGCTGTGCACGAGCTGATGCACAGACACCCCGTCAAGAAGCAGCAACGGACGACAGGCACTTTGAGCCTCGGGCACGAGGCAGACGTGCAAAAGGAGACGCGGACGTGAGGCGGCACACAGTACGCGTCGAGTGATCAAATGTGCTTCTTATAAAAACAACGAAGGCTGTCCGTCGATCGTGTATCGTCCGTCTCGTGCCTACATGATGAGCTAACTACCACAGGCCGAGCCGTCGCTAGTCACTCACCTGCGAGCACTCGATCGTATCAAGAGTCGCGAGTGGTGATGCGCCCGTTCCATGACGTTATGCAAGTCGGAGCTTCCTCTCGGTTTCCTCCTTGTCGTCCCACTTGCCCTTGTCCTTCTTCTCTCCTGTCCTCGTCGTTCTTGTCCTTCTTGGTCCTTCTTGTCGTCCTCGTCCTCGTCCTCGTCGTCGTCGTCGTCGTCGTCACGGGAAGCAGAGGAGTCAGAGGTCACATTGCCACATGCGGTCTGCACTTTTTCGACCAGGGCGTGGAAGTTGAGCTCGGCCGCGAATCCGTACATGTGTAAGTTACAGTCAGGCGGGTTCGACACCTCGATGGCCTTGACAATGCCCCTGCACTCTTCGCTGTGGCACATCTTGGCCGTCTCGTCGTCATCCGGCAGGAGCTGCGAGGTCAAGAACGAGTAGCCCGAGAGCCGGCCGCACTCCACCATCTCCGAAGTCTTCTCTAAGACCTCCTTCAGCGACATGCCCGCAGCAATCTTTTGACGAAAGCCGCACGACTCGCCCTTGGGTTCCTCCTCCTCTTCGGAGCCGCGCACGGGCGCGACCAGCGCGAGCACAGCGGTCGCGAGCGTCAAGTACTTGGCCATTGGCGTCATTGCGTTCAACGGCGGGAGGTCGACAGTCAAAGTCGAGGCGGGCAAAGGCAGGCAAATTGAGGAATGACATGGCAGCTCGACGACGACAACGACTGCTGCGGCGGCGGCGGCGAGTCCGCTGGAAAGCGTCACAGAGCGCAGACTTCCTCGTTCTCTGCTCCGACTCTGCAGCGCAGAAGACTCGGCACGAGGTCTGTGTGGCGAAAGCAGGGGCAGGACTCAGACGCTCGTCTGCGTTTCGCACCTTCCGCATGCAGGACCAGCTTTGAGACCAGACGAATCCGCGAACGTCTGCCGGTGAGTAATGAATCCGTTGGCACAGCAGGGAACAAACCACTGTCACACCCCCCGCTTGCAGCAGCTTTCCTGGTCCGCAGAAAAGCGCTCCATGTCGTCACGGGCCCCGTTCGGTTCGCGCGGGCTCTCGAGGAGGATCGCCAGTCGACCCATGTCGACACAGGTATCGACGTGGATGTGGATCGGTGGCTCGCGTGCAAGAAGCCCCTGTGCTTCCATTGACAAGACACTGCTGTACACGCACCGACAGCAGCTACATGGGGCGTCATTGAATTGGTCGCGGCGGTCTCTTTTGCACTAGTGCAATGCAACGACACGAGCTGTCGTCTCGTTGCAACAACGATACGGGCGTAGACCCCCCACACGCAAAGCCATGGGCGCTATCGACCTCGATACGTGCATTGCTTTGCTGCACTGGGGGGGGCACACAGTACGCCAAACAAGCGCCTCGACAACGTCTGCAGGCCGTATAGGCGACAACGGTCACTGACATTCGTCAAGATAGGCGTCGCACGTTCGGTACGTGTCGAGCGAAGAAATAGCTGCAGTGTCTTCTGCGTATGCAGCCGATGTGCACGACGGTCCGCTTGCACGTCGTTTGTGCCCGTTGCAACGAGCTGGGGGGGGGGCTGGCACTGCGGTGAGCACTGCTTTGGTAGCGGATGAGTGTGTTGCGAGGGTTCACTCGCGCACGGACACAACGAGGCAGACCAGAGGAGCCTTTACTGACCAGGTCAGATCAGGCTCTACGCATCGTAAGAGAAGAGCTATGGCTGCCCCCACGTGTTGAGCTCGTTCGGTTCGTCTGTTCACGAGTCGCATCGTCAGGAAGCGCGCAGAGACATCTGCTCGCGTTGCGATTCCAGGCACCTCAAGCAACGAACGAGCTGGGGCTGCGTCGAGCGCCAACCGCTACTTTTCTTCTCGCTTGCCCCACATGTACATGAGGGCGAACCAGCGCCCGAGCATCAGATCCTCCTGCCATGCGTGACCCACCCATTCGACGCACTCGCTCGACAAGGCGTCCGTCTCCGCTCTTTCCCAATGGAGACACCGTCAACGCGGCCACAGCTGGTCCACGAGGGCGCACTGTAGCACATCTATCCGGTGCCCATGTTCAGCCCACGTTCTATGCTCGCTCGCGCTTCGTTCAGCGCGATTCACGTCAGCGCTTTGCACACGACACGCGCGGGTCTATCAAGCCGAAGCCCACGACTGCCCTCCTTTGCGTCCTCACGGGCTGCCTCCGTCCTAAGGTTTTGCAAAGCAGAGTGCACTTCGTGCGTCTGGAATCCAAGGCCCATGCGACGAGCTGCACGGATTGCCTTCGTGCTTGCGCCATCCGACTCGAAGGCGATCGCGACGAGGCATTGCAGGGCACCGGCGATGCGGGTGCAGCATCAGCGACCGACTCGATCCATACGGCGTCTCGGGATGTCTGGTCGAGACAACGCACGGGGAATACAACTGCGTTCTTGCAAATAGTGGCGCGTCCGTCTTGCCACTGGGGCGCAATGGGAGGCACGACCCCCGCCATCCAAAGCCAAAGCCAGTTCCTGCGACTGCAGCGCTTTTCGAGCCGGCGCCGCAGCTTGGGCCCCCACCACTCTTTCCGATGTCTCGCATGACGTTCCTCCTTAGCTCGTCCTTGCTGTCGACTGCGTCTAGCCCTTGTGCGTCTAGACCGTGACGTCTTGTAACTTCACGTACCGTGACTACCCGACGAGAAGTGGAGCGGCACGTATTGTACATGTATGTAGTAAGTAGATCGACGACACACCGGCTACTGTCGGGATGGACTGCAAGCTTAGTGATGCATACATCACGGGCTGTCGGCCCCCCCATCTGTCTGCTAGGCATGCAAACCACAGCTGGCGGGGCGGCAAGGCGTACTGTTGTGTACAATAAGGATAGCTGAGCTGTCATCAACGGGCTTGCTTTGAGTGGGGTTTCCGTGGCATATCGGCCCGGACCTCGAACAGTGATGAGCAGAAGGTGAGACGCGGAGACGTGCGGCATATCCAAAGCTCGGCTCCTGCATGTCGCTACTTGGCGATGCGAAGGTGTGTAATGTCTCGAACGGAATCGCGTGTCGCATAGTTGCCTACTCGTTGACGACACCTGACGCTCTTGTCTGCTCTGGAAGTGTCGGGTTGACAACTAACTGCCTCCACTTGCAAGAACTGCAAGTACAGTCCACGATACTCGACTTGTAAAAGTCGGTAGGAACAGTTATATCGGTCAGCCATGGACTCGAACGTTCGCACGCAGCCAAAAGGAGCGACGACTACATGACACCAGACGTTGACAAGCAAATACGACGACATCTTCATTTCCTATCCATACGCGCGGCGACTAGAGCTACGAATTAGCTGCCACAAGATCATGTGGCCGTCTCGATGCGCTCACATTGGTCAGATTTGACTTTCCATCCGTGCTTGCAAGGCGTGTACGTGCCTCTGCAACACAGAGCGTCCGTCTTACGCAAACGTACATGCAGACTCACGCCAAAGTACAAGTGCTGATTGCTACCGTGCTTCTGCACGCACTCTGTGCTCCACTTTTTCGGTTTCTCTGTGCAACAATGTGACGGACAGCCGTCTCGACACTCTCCCCGAGTCGTAAAGTCCTTCTCATTGCTACCGCCAGCCACATTGACAGTGAGCAAGAGCTTCCACGTGGTGAAAACCCGTCTGCAACACATGAGACGTTCCTTCGTTTCGATCCACGTAAACGTGTAGAGCCAATTCAGTATACGGCCGTGCGGTGTACATTGTCAGGATAGCGTTCTCGTCGAAAAGACGCGGCCTCCCCACGTTGTGCAGTGGAGCACACCACCGATCGCCTGTTCAATCGCTTCAGACACAGTGTTTGCAACCCCATTGACAAATATCCGCGTTCATCGGCCAATCATTGAGGTGTATTTGACCGAAAAGCGATGGAGTCGGTCACTAACGTCGATGTCATCGGCTTCTCATTGGCTGCTTTGACCACCTTTTCCTCACCTCGGGACACATTTGGTGACGACTACCCCAACATTTCTTCCCAAAGCCGTCTTTTTGGCACCGAACGAAATGGACGGCGTGGCCACCGCGTCGGACGACGACTACGCGCTCGAGGACATTTCCTGGGACGAGATCGACAAGCTCAAGTACTATATCGTGGGACCGTCCATGTACCTCGCCGTGCGCGCGGCGGTGTACCCGAGCAATCTCGTCAAGACGCGGCTACAGGTCCAGTCGAAGCACAGACCGCTCTACTCGGGCACGTTCAATGCGTTTGCCACGATTTTTCGACAGGAAGGAGCGCGGGGACTGTACAAGGGCTTTGGCGCGAGCACGGCCAATGTCTTGACGGGCAACTTTTACATCTCGGTCTACGAGAAGTCGCGCGAAGTGTGCAAGAGATACACGACGGTGAGGGACAGCGCAGACAGCTGTGGCGGGGAGCTTGGACTGTCGTTGTCTTGCTACTATCGCTGTCTTGCTACTGTCGTTGTCTTGCAATGTTATTGTTGCGTTAGTGTGTTGTGGTGATTGTTGTCGAGACATGCGGTGCTCACGCATGTATTGCTACTGCTTCTGCTTGTTGGTCCCTTTTTGTGATGCCATTGGGTGCTGCATTCATGGGGCAAGCAGGTGGGCGAAAAGGGGGCTAATTTCGTGGGCGGAGCTGTCGCGTCGCTCGTTTCGCAGACTGTTGTAGTGCCGTTGGACATTGTGTCGCAGCGCATGATGCTCAGCGGCCAGGGACAGGATGTACACAAGACACGGGAACGAGCGAAAGGGTTTCTTACCATGACCAAGCAGATCTTTCGACTCGAAGGGATCCGCGGATTCTATCGGGGATACATGCCATCCATCGCAACGTATGCGCCGTCGTCCTCGATTTGGTGGGGGTCATACGGCCTCCTTGCGCCCGTGTACTATAAGCTGATAAAGAACTGGCCCATCGATTCGTTTTGGAAACAAGGTGCGTGAAATCGAGTGATGGTGATGTGTTGATGACCGACGCTGATGGCCTTGTACATTGTTCGGTGCCATTAGTACTGGCACAGGGAATAAGCGGTGCAAGTGCCGGCATCATCACAGGCATTTTGACAAATCCCATGGACATTGTGAGGACAAAGGCGCAAGTATATACGCAGTATGGCGCTGTCGATACCCTCAAGTATATTCTAAAGAACGACGGCCCGATGGGTCTCATGACGGGTCTCTCCGCGGTACGTAGCTGATCTGAACATGTATTTGTTTCTGCCAAGCTAACGATCTGTTCTCGTTCTTGCTGGTGGTGTAGCGACTACTGGCCATGGGTCCGTCCGGTATCCTCATGGTAACGTCGTACGAGTTTGTGAAGCGTGTGTGTCGGAAACCACAAGAGACTGACGCAGCTACCTACGCGTAAGCTGCTTGCTATACAGCACTCTGACGTGTGAATGCGACATTGTGCTGGATCAACAACAACACCATCTTGGCAGCGCTTTTCGCCCTATGACGTGAGACATCACTTTGGCCGTCAACTGTAGGGCGAACGTGCGAACGGACTCAGAGTCGGTGGACGTGCGGAGCTTCCAACGCAATTTGCTTGAGCTGCACAATACCGTCAGAAGTTGTAGACCCATTTCCAAGTCGGACACGAAATCATTCACCATCATCGCACAAGCGTCGCAATCGCAGTGGCCGTGGTGCAGAACCGACGGAGCCATATTTGTGCCGCAGTAACACAACTAATGGTGAAAAGTGGGTCCTCCACGTCAGAACATGTTTACAGTGACAAGTCCTTGCTCTTGTATGCCCAAAAGAGATCCGTTGGTCAGTCCCTATCTACTGATAAATGAGCTTCCACTCACCCCGAGTGAGCAGATTCATGCGCTTAAGTTGTAACGTGCGGCTTCTAATGATCGCACATCACGAACAAAAAGTGCCTACTCGAGCCATAACCCACCAGATCATTCTAATCACGAGGTTTCGAAAGCAGAGTTTGCCGCCTTGAACAAACTGCGTTCCACCACGTTCGTCTCCTTTGCAACCACAATACAAGTGCACACGCTGATACGCTCCTTGCGTACGATGCTCCAGACCAAGCAAAAGGTCACAACACAGATGACCATTGCACGCCAAGAGAACGACACTGTTGCTGTCTCCCAGACGCACAAGCACCAAGACGATGAAAACAGACAGAGAGGGAGACACTATCAGCTCGTTTGTTCCGCCTTTCGCCTCTTCAAGACTCCACTTTAGGCTCAAAAACTCGCCAACGTGTGTCTTCGAGCAGCAGTACCAATCGTCAGCTCAAGGCGGCCGCCAGCACCGTACACAACACTCAGTGGGCTCCTCCCCCTGTTCCCCTCTGCCTCATTCTATCTATACCCATAAGCGATATCGCATACCACACCGCTCGTCGCGCACACACGCGCTCATTGTCCACCTCGATTCCTATCCACCATATACAGGATAACCCACCCACCCCCCACGACGCACGGCCGGATCCCCACGACAAAACCCACCGGCACTGTCTAACCCAAAGGCACAATGGCCCACGTCCCCGACGACGCGGAGCTCCTCCGTCCGGACTATAGGCCGCGTCTCGGCGCGCTGTCCGTCGCCGAGAAGCTCGCGCAGGCCGAGTTGCTCAAGCGACGGGGCAACCTCTTTGTCCGCGCAGGCGACTACCGACGCGCGTTGCGCGCCTACGCCCACGTCTTTGCCTACGTGAACGGCCTCTCCGTCGCGGGCGACGCTATGGCGCCGTACGCGCAGAGCGACGCGGGCGCTCACCTGTTGGCGACCGCTGCAGAGGGCCAACAGATTGAGGCGCTCCAAGTCGCGACGTGGGCCAATATGGCGCTCTGCCACGTGCGCCTCGGCGGCGCACCGCACCGCGCGCTGCAGTGCTGCGGTCGCGTGCTGGCGCTCGCGCCGCAGCACAGCAAAGCGCGTTTCCGCCAGGCGCAGGCGCTCGCGCAGGACGCGCAGTACGCGCGCGCGCGGGCGGTGCTGCAGGCGCTGCTGGACGAAGAGCCCGCGAACGCGGCGGTGCGCCGGGAGCTGCGGCAGCTGCAGGCGACGGCGCGCGCGGACGCTGTCGAGACGCGCGCGCGCGAGAAGCGCGTGTTTGGCCGCATGTTTCCGTCATAGAGACACACACAGAGACACAGAGAGAGAGAGAGACACACACAGAGAGAGAGGGGAAGAGCAGGAGGTGGAGTAGTACACTCGTAGTGAAGTGGGTCTCTGTCTGTCTGTTGATCGGTTGGGGGTTAGAGGTGGAAAAGGTGCGGCCGGACGCGCGTGCGGATCGCGTCCATCACGTGCGCGTAGCTGTGGCCAAAGTGGTTGTCGACCGACGGCGCCACGAGGTCCGACACGTCGACGTCCACGCAGTGGGGCGCATCGAACGCGAGCGGGCGACCGCCGGCCGCAGTCGTTGCAGCGGTCGGTCGCTGCAGCTGCAGCAGTCCAAAGAGCTGTGACAGAACGCTGTCGCGCGACGAATACACGTTGACGAACGTGCCGCCGCGCGGGTCGAGCGCGGCGGTCACGCGGTCGCGCGCCGCGCGGCCCTCCGGCACGACGAACGCGCCGGCAAAGCTCACGGCGTTTGCAACGCACGGCATTGGGTCGTTGTCGCTGCTGTGCGGCGGCCGCCACGCGGCCATCGCCTGCAGTGCGCTGTAGACGACCGCACCACCCAACGAGTGGCCCAAGAGCGACAGCGTCCGGTCGCGCCAGAGCGCCGGCCGCGCGGCCGCCACGTGCGCGAGCAGCGCCCCCACCTGTTCGGCTTGACCCTGCGCGCAATGCCACGGGTTGCCGGCCACGTGCGCGAGCAGCTCCGCGGCCGACGACGTCGCCACGCGGCCGCCGAACGCGTCCCACGCCGCGGCGTCGCCGGCCGCCCACTGCACGACAAACACGGCGACGTCCGGCCGGTCGTCGGCGGTCCACGCGCGCCACTGGCGCGTCGCGTCCGCGCGCGCGGACATGAAGCCGCTGATGCAGAGCACGACGTGGCGACAGGCGGCCGCGTTGCCGCTCACGAGCTGCAGCCGGAGCGGCTGTACGCGGCGCTGGTGTTTGGCGGCGGCCGCTGTCGCGACGGCCGCGTCGACGGCGCTGGTCCAGAGCGTCGGTCGGGCCGCGGCGGTCGGCGGCCACATGTAGGCGCTCAATGCGCCGATTGCGCCCCCGGCGGCCGCGGCCGCGACGTCCGCGACGCCGACCGGCGTCTGTTCGCGCTCGTTGCGCTGCTGTCGCACGCGGTCGACGGTCGCGTTCAGGTCGTGCACGAGCAGCGACGACACGCGCGCGCGGACGGCGTCGGACGGACAGGTGGCCGACGCGAGCGACGTCTGGAGGTCGATGAGCTCTGCGGACGACAGGAGACCGCGACGCTGGAGCGCGCGACCGTCAGCGAGCAAGCGGTCGGATTCGGACATTGTGACGGACGGACGGACGGACGGGCGGACGGGTGTGTGGGTGCGTCGAGCAGGAGAAGAGGAGGAGAGAGGAAGAGGAGATGGACGAAGATGGACTCACCATCAATTGCAACGTGCACAGACACAAGACAGTGAGTGTCGTGTCACGTCGTGACGTGACGTTGAAGTGCTGTTGGATGCCCCAAAGATGTCGTCGGGCCGTCATGTTGGACGGCGCACGCTACAGCAGGACAGGCGAAGGCTGTTTCGCGCTGGCTATTGGAGGTCACGTAGCAGTCGACTGACCGTGGCGTGCACGTTTGCAAGAGGTTGAGGAGCTTTCGACTGCTTGTTGCAAGGACGTGGGTCTCTGCGAGCAGTTGCGGCCACAGGGCTCGCCGCGACGACCACAGCTTGGGAGGAGTCCCACAATGGACATATCACGCGACGTCGACGTGCGTATCACTGTGGTCTGACGCAAACCACACGCGTGCACGAAGAAGCAGATGACAAGGTCAATGTCCGTCGCAGCAATGCCCTCAGGCACACTTGCGTGACTACAGTCGCTACGGCAACACGAGATCGACGCGCATGCTGATACGATCCAGAATGGTATCTATCGTGACGTTCGCCCCATCATTTGCGCGACTGCACAAACACTCAGCATATGATTGCAAAGCGTTGCGAGCATCAGCTTTCCGCATGGATTTGGAATCTGTCGACATGCGCGAGATTAACGCTATCGGTGCGTGACGACAGCATGCATCAAGCGCGAACGGACGAGTTGTAGACGAGGGGCAACAAGCGCGCGCATACACTACTGCACAAGCGGCCACGATATTCATCCTTTGCAAGAAACACGTCATATCTCCTCAGACGTTATGTGTAACATATATGTCGAAACAAGGGCCTCATGTCGCGCAGCTCGACCGAAAAACACGACAATGTAGCTGTGACATGCTTTCTCATTGGCCCAGTCGTCCGATTCTTTGTGTGCCACACCACGCACTTACTTGCGCAACGGAAGCTCGCTCCACTCGCCGCGACTACAGTCGTTCTGGCCACAGGCTGTGGCAAACTTCCGTTGCGCAACTCGAGTCCGTTTGCGCAACTCAAGCGTCGACGCACTTTGCAAGAATGCACACTGGGCGACCGTGCGAGGCCACACCAGCTGAAGTAGCACTTGTGCGCCAGGACTTGGGCTTCGTGCCCACGAACCTCGTGCGCGTGAGCGCGTTCGTCGACAGCCACGGCCGCACGTCGCGCAGATGCGACGACTCGGGTGACTACCGACCCGCTGTGCTGCTGCTCTATCCTTTGCGGAACGCCGAGTCGGCGTACAAGAAGAAGCAGCGCGCCCAAGTGGAGCCCTTTCCGACCATCTATTGGCTGTCGTCCCCCGCGCTCAAGGCCCGTGTGTCTGCCCTCGAAGACCAGCAGTTTGTATTGACGCTGCAGCATCGATTGGATACGAACGAAGGCGCAAAAGAGGTGGGTACAACGAGTTCCAGTTAGTTGGCCGTGACACAGTGCGCGCTCTGTTTTGTGGTCCACAGCGCTCGAATGTGACTCATTATTCCAAAGCGCTCGAATGTGACTCATTATTCCAAAGTGCTCGACAATGACTCATTATTTCGAGGAAACCCGAGGCGTTTGGCTCATTATTTCGAAGCGCTTTGTTTTCGACATTTCCAACAGCGGCTTGTTCTTCCCGTTTCTAAGCGCTCTGTTTGTCTGTTTGTTTGTTTGTGGGACTGCTGTTTGTGGGACGCCTTTTTTGTGACGTGTGATGGGGTGCAGAAAATGGCCGAGTGCCACCGCGCGTACGCCGCAGAGCGCTGGGATATGATGACGTCCGACGACGTGGCGCTTGTCAAGAGCCGGCGGTGGGAGTTTGTCCTGCGCGACGTCGGGATTGCCGGTATCCGTGACTTCACGAACGTCAAGTGCCTCCACACCCACTACGCCCACTATCTGGCCACGGGCACGAACCTCATCGGCGAATGGGTACAGGAACTGCTCGACGGCGTAGCGCTTGACGAGCTGAAAGCAGTGACGTGAACGGACTACAAGTAAGCAGAACAAGACAATGGCGGGACGGACGGCCGTGGGTATACCGTAATCGCTTCGTGTTGACGTGCCTCATCGTCGTGTCGTCGATGACGCACAACTCACTTCCACCTCACCCACGACGGTCGCTCGACAAGAGAGTCTTGTTCTGCCTCTCTCCCTCTCTTGCGCTTGGCTCACGTGTCATGGCAGCCACGGCGCGCCACGGTCGTCAATGGCTTGGACGCTCTCTCTCTACCCACCGCAACACCCGGACGTTGCCGGCGTTTGCTGCTCTGCAGCAGTAGCAGCATCAACCGACACTGCGGCACTGGCCCCCGACGTCCGGCGCACCTTGTGACTCGAGTAGTCATAGTTCTGCAATATCGTCGTGGCCGTCAGTGCAAATGCCTAGCAGCAACAACAACAGCAACAGCAACAACAGCAGCTGTGGTCAGTCGCCAGTGCTCATTGCGCTTCACTCCAGGAGCTCCTTTTCCCCACGCACCTGCTCGACATTCAGCGCCGTCTTGGCCGACGCCTCGATGAAGACGAGGCCGTGCGCAGCAGCCCACGCGCGCCCCTCTTCTTCCGGCACCTCGCGCGCCGCGTCCGACACGTCGCACTTCATGCCCACGACGAGAATCTCCACCTCGTCGTTGTGGCAGTTCTGCCGGCACTCGTGCAGCCAGCGACTCAGGTGCTCGAAACTCGCGCGTCGGCTCACGTCGTACACGAGCAGCGCGCCGTCGGCCCCGCGGTAGTAACTCCGCGTGATCGACAGGAACGTCTCTTGGCCCGCCGTGTCCCAGATCTCGAGCTTCACCTTGCGGCCGTCCACTTCGAGCAACTTGGCGCCAAACTCCACGCCAATGGTCAGGTCGTGCACGGACTGGAAGTGCTGCTCAGTGAACTGCAGCAACAGCGACGACTTGCCCACCTCCGAGTCGCCAATGATAATGTACTTGAGCGTGACAAAGACCATGAGGAGGTCGGACGTACGCACGTACGCACGTACGTACCTACGGGTGTGTGTGTGTGTGTGCGTGTGTGGATGTGTACGTACCTACGTGTGTGTGTGTGGGCTCTTTGTCGGCGTCGATCAGCGGTCACTAAAGCGCTGCGGAAGACGAATCGGTCGATGCGATCGCTCGAATCCTTTGGCGAATGTGGTCGTGTCTGTGTGTGTGTGTGTGCGTGTGTGTGTACCCACTTGCGCTTGAAGCGGCGCTTGTATCCGTTTTGTTTATTCTGCTTCTTCTTCTTCTTCTCTTCTGCTTCTGCTCTTGGGGTGGTGCCGTAGGATATGTTCGTGGAGAGGAATAGGCGACAAAGGAGGGCGAGGGGGCGTGTCTTGGGTAAGCGCGAGACGACGACTCGTGCAGGAAAGAGACGAACCGACCGACGTGGATGTGTTGTGTGTGTGATCTCTCTCGTGTGGGGTGGTATGTTTGTGTGTATCGATCCTATTTATGTGCCCTTCTGAGCGTCGCACAGGTGTTTTTCGTTCGATGGGAAGATGGTAAGAGGGGCTAAGACTGTAGGGCGTGTTGCACTCTTGTGGAGTATCTTATGGGCAGAAGGGAAGCTGGTGGTCATACCAGCGATGCGCGAAGGATCGCTTCGGCGGGCGAAGTGCGTTGCGAGGAGAATGTACGGTACTCGATATGTGCACACGCTGAGTGGTATGCTGCGACTGAGAGCGGCGAGGCTTTCCATGCATCGTGACGGGCGCGTTATCCGACACGACATATCGATCTACAGAGATGGGCGAACGCACGACATCGCTGCACTGACATCGGAGGCTAAGGGCACGAGTATCATACACGTGTTCACAGACTTTCGTCAGGTCTACTCATCAATTGCAATTTGACACACATCTTTCGTCATGCGCGACGCCGTCTTACCGCGATGAGTCAATGAGTCAATGAGACTCGAGTGACAGTGTGTCAAGGTGGGTTATCGGTGACCAAGTGGGCGTTTGCGAGCGTGATCGGGTTCTTGTACGGCGAACTCCGAGAAGCTTACCATGTTACCTTCGGATACTTGACTGCCGAGCTTGCAATTCTTTTGCTCGAGCACTATGGGTACGCTTTGCCGGTATCAGCGCATTTTATGATACGTCGTGTGCTCGTGCAATTCGCAGATGTCCTCGCGATCCTTCGCGATCATCACATCGTTGCAGTTTAGAGCGTCGCTAGTTTATGTGACGCTTGGCTTTCCGGTCGCATGCTGGCCAGCAGCACTATCCTGTCTCAATGTACATAAACATCATGCAGTCGGTATCTCCGATATGCGTATAATGAGCGCAGCTCTGCAGGGTACCCTTTCCGTAAGGTGCAAGAACTCCTCGCTCAGATAAACATGTTGGTACACTCAGTGGACAAGGACGTACTCGTCACGAGTAGTCTATACGTCAACTGATGGATCCGTGAAGCATATGTGTGACCCAAACATGACCTCACTCTGACGTACTTCGCAACTTGACGTGCGGTCCTCATTGTCAATCTCAGAAGGTCTCATCTTCTACATCGAATACACATGCCATTTCACAGTCCTATTCGACATACAGCGCGCTCGTTCGTTGTAGGGACCGCAGCTTCTGGTCAACATGGACACGAACGCGGCAAGCAAAATAGTCGTTACTAAGCATTTCGCAAGCGGTATGTTGTAGAATGCATCACTGCATACCGCTCGGTCGCTCACGTTCCCATCTAGTTTCTCGTCACTGTCGCTTCTCGTCCGCCGTACAGCGCTCTGTCGATATAGGGACGCACAGAGGGTTGACTATCACCGAACTGCCCGACCACCGTTGACTGCCCCACCCACGTCGTCAGGGGCCGACTTGGCCGCTATCAAATCTTTCGCAGGTGCAGTGCTGATCGAAGTGGTGGTCAATGTATTGGCAGCGTACACCAGTAGAATGAACAAACAGAGGTCGTGGAAGAAAGGTGACGTCGACTTGATCACCAGTCTATGAGAGCTCCACCATGGAAGCGGCGTGCCATACTTTGCTCAGAACAAGTCTATACATGTGGCAAATTATATTCCGATACTTGTTCGTAGTATCCGAAACGCGCATAGAGCCAACGCTGACGCGCTACTGGGATATGTATGTGCAGGATACCTTCCTCGTCGCGCACAATCGTGGCAAGCAGTAGGTAAAACCCCGATTTGCGATGTTTGCCTTCCGAGCAACATTACGGCACGCCACACCTGAATTGTGCCAGCACGTAATTTCCTCACAGATAGGTGACGGCAGTGGACTACTTTTACATTTTGCAGCTTCGACTCAGAAACCGCCGGATCCGCGGTCGATGTATGTTACGGGTAAATTACTTGCCCGCTAGGCCTCCTCTGTCTAGCGATATCAGAGCTCCTTTCTCTTGGAATCATAGCCTCTCGCAACGTGCACATGACTATTTTGCCGCAAGTGGCAAGATAACGATGGAAAGTGTCGGAGACGAACGACCCTTTGCCTCCAACTTGTACACTGTTGGCGCTTCAATCTTCGACAAGCTCTTGGTCAAGTAGATCCATATGCATATGTAAAGGCAATCCTTTCGACCAAACTTCTGACATGCAAAGTTGCTCGAAGCGAGAAGCGACAAATTGACTCCTTGGAAAATCGACTGATAACAAGTCACGCTGCCCAATTCATTATCTTTTTGTCAGCAAAAAGATAGGCTCTGACTTGTCTGTCTCCTGTAACAAACGTCCCTCAAATCGGTCACGTTTCTTTCGACCAAAAAGCAATGCAAGACGGAGGTCCGTCGCGACACAATTTTGCCTCGCAATTACGACATTAAAGACCATTTACATCGACTGCGTCCGACGTTCCCAAAAGCTGCAGCAATGACACACAACCACAGCGTCTCTTCCATCGTCCATGGCGACAAGCAAGCGAGCAAGCGGCATGTAGTAACGTGCGGCTGACACCGACATGCAAACAAGTAGCTGAGCTGACGTCCCAAACAAAGGGAGCGATCTCGGCAGTCATTCTGTCCTCCACATCAAAACAAAACGTTCACATGCAGACACTTCTCCTTGCCGCACATTCCGTAGCTCACCGCAGCCGCGTCGAGTCCGACAGGCAACGCGTCGTTCGACCCTAACGCTCATCTTTGCAGCTTCGTCACTAAAGTGCCCCATTGACAACGAAAGACCCTTCCGCCACAACAGTGTCCCTCACTGCTTCGCGTTCACTTCGATCGTGTGGTCATAGTCAATCGTCGGAATGACCGACTGGATGAACTTGAGGAACAGGAAAAGGTACTGATCGCTGCGGATCTCGTTCGCAACCTGCTCGTCCGTCTCCGTGTCCCCAGGCACGCGCGCCTTGAGGTTGGCAATAATGCGCTTCATCACAGCACCGTGCTGGCACGGGTGAATGGACGCGTGCACGAGCGCACTGCGGTGCGGGTGCGGCTCCATCGTCACGGTGCGGTTGGCGTAGTCCTGCATAATGTCCTCAAACATCTCGTCACCACTGAGTGGCGCATTGCGCTCGTCGTAGCCAAAGAGCCACACGCGTGGCGTCTGGTAGTACTTGTCGTACGTGATGGACAAGTCGTACGTGCGCGTGCGCAAGATCGCGTCGTCTGCGTCGTCCGGTTCACTGGCCACGAGGTAACTGCCAGTCGCCATAGGGCCAAGCGCCGCTTCATCGTCGTCTTCGTTCTCCTCGACGAGATTATCCTCGTCGTCGTACGAGCTCAAGTCCCGCACTTCGGACGCTGCAGCGGTGGGCGACCGTCCGTCCACAAAGTGCTGGTCGACAATAGCGTCCAAGATGCCTCTGCTGCTGCTGCTGCTGGTGCCCTTGCTCTTGGAAGGTCTGTGCCTGTTGCCGGAGAGCGCGCAGTCGTCCATCTCTTCTCCGAGATCGGTAATGGCGTCAGAGCTACTGCTGTCCTGAGCGTACGACGACGCAGCCACCCACTCGTCTTCTCCTTCGACAGCTTCTTCCGTCTGATAACTCTGTTCCAGCGACGTGACGCGACGGCGACACGGCACTGTTGCAGCAACATACACCACCACAAGAGCAACATAGTGCAGTGAGCAGTCCAGCCGCGGATTTCAGCCAATGAAAACGATTGCAAGCCACGGCCGAACCGTTGCGCGTGACGAGAAACTGCTTGTCTGGTGGCAAATAGGTGCGTCGGAGACCGGGCTCGCCGCTCTCCCACCGCCACGTGGGGCACTTGTACACGAGCAGGTCGCCAGCTTTGACAAACTCCTCGGGCGTGAGCAGCCCCTTGTCTTCGAACGACGACTCGGTCAGCACGGGCGTCAGGTACTCGCGCACGCCGTGGAGCAGACTCTGCATCGTGTGTGTGTGTGTTCTTATAAAGCACTTGTTTCATTCGGGGAACCAGACGTCCTGTGATACTTAATATCCACTTTGTCGATTGCGCGTTGCAAGGCTTATGTTGCGCCACTTGATGAGCTATTCTACCCACTGCTTTGAGACGCCGCTGGCCCTGCACGAGGTCACCGTCTCGCTTTCCAGCCGCTTCAACCGCCGCATCCACCCGGACGCCAGCGTCGAGCAACATAAGACACGAGCATGGAACCAACTTCAACACCAGACCCCTACCCTCTTCAACGCCTCGAAGTTCCGACTTCACAGCTATGCAAGTGACCATCACTCTCGCCACGACCATCACTCTCTCCACGACCATCACTCTCTCCGCGACCATCACTCTTTACTGACCTTGCATTTGGGCCTAACGGACTACGCGTCGTACGTCGGTCTGTGCTGCTCGCCACTGGCTCGAGAGCTACTGGAGGACGGAGTGCGACTGCATGACGACCGCTTTGCGTTCCTGTCGAGGAAAGTCGGTGTCGCCGCCGTACTCGAGACCATTGACGGGTACGTGGCGCTCGTCAAGAGGAGTCAGCACGTGGGTCTCTACCAGAACTTGTACGACACGCCTGGAGGCCATCCCGAGCCGTCCAAGTGTCAGCTGACACCCACAGTGCTGCAGACGCTGGAGGGCGACGAAGACGATCGTGACAGGCGAGTGGCAGCGGCAGAAGATGCAGCGCGACGAGAGCTGTTCCAGTCCGTTGCCGACGAAATCCATGAGGAAGTGAACGTGGGGCCGCCGCTGCAGCAGCCGCCGCAACTGCTCGGGGTCGTGTTGCAGACGGACGCGTGCACGCCCAGTTTCTGTACGTTGAGTTGGTTGCTCGGACGTATAAGGAGGAGGAGGAGGAGGAGGGAGAGTCGAGCGGGTGGCCGGTGGTGTGTCTGATTGGTGGTCGTGACTCTTTGCTGTGGTCTGTGCAGCTTTCCACGTGCGGACGTCGTGCTCGGCTCAGGAGCTGAAGGAGCTGTACGAGGCGGGACCGGCAGACAAGTTTGAGTCGGTAGAGCTCGAGCTCTTGTCAGTGGACAAGTTGCTGGCGGAAGGACCGTCCCAGACGCTGTACGCGAGTCGATATGGATATACGTGGGATGAATTGCGTGGGGTAGTACACGCAAAAGCTGACGTTGTGCTGTGACGCTGCGCTGCTGCTGCAGAGAGAAGCTGCTGCTGACGCCTTCGGCAAAGGGGACGCTCGAGATATGGAAGCAGCACATGCTGCGTGCGAGACGAGAGCAGTAGAGGGACGCGCTGACGTTTTGCGTGATAGAATGTTGTAGCTGTTGCTGTTGCTGCTGCGCTGGAACGACCGAGTACCGTTGAGGTGCAAGCTGCTCGACCGTCGATCGATAGGCATGACGGGGGCAATACGGACACCTACGAGTTCCAGTGCGCTTGCAGTATACTGGACTTGCAGGGCGGCTGCTTCATGTTCATGTGGGTAAAAGCTGGAGAAACTCGCCAATGCACTTGTCAACAGCTAGCGGACGTTCACTCGTCGACAAGGTTGGCATTCGAAGGAACTCGTTGACCCTCGTTTGTACAATTGAAGTGTCAACAACGTTTACGTATGCCAGAACCGGTCGTGACACACAGGGACGTTCATGTTGTCAGGTGTCTCGACGCGTGCAGCAAAAGTGTCTGAGCACGGCAGTGGCGCAGGTACATGCGACTCCAGAGGGCAATAGATCCGGTCGTCAATGTTGGACGTCATGACTGGGGGGAGTTGGTCGAAGGCGAACGCGTTGCTAGCAGCGATCGAGTGGCTGGACTGCATCTCGGTCCAGCGCGGGTGTTTGCAAACCCTTATGGTTCTGCAAGTCTACAAGGCCTGCCTGGCCAGACTGCTCAGCGTGCCGTGGTAGGATCGCCATCAGTTCGTGAGCCGTAACGTGTTGCCATTCAAACAACCGGGTGTAGCGCACGTTCTTGCTGCTGGGCCTGGTGTCGGTCACGTTGGTACGGGCGACAAAGTGTTTCGTGATGGAGAGTGTGCTCGCACCGGTTGTTGAGTAGGAACCAGGTTCTGCTCGTTCGGACGTGACACACGGTTGGCAGGCGAAGTGCGACGAACAAGCACACTTCATGCCTGTCATGTGCTTGTTGCGCTCTGTTGTGCACTCGCTTGGTGGTGACCAATATGGTAGTAGCCGTCCCGGTCGCAGGTGGCCCGTTCCTCCGAAGTGCTGTTGACATGAACGACGTTCATGCTGTCCCGTCGACAGACGGCAGTGAAGATATGGCACGAGACGTACTTGATGACTCGTTGGCGACTGTTTGGTGTCAGCTATTTGCGAGCAATGCGTCGAAAGCGCTGCCGCCACTTCACACAAAGCACAGCGTTGACGACGTGGCACGAGACAATGGGCAGACAAGAAGTGCCGCGCGCACGACTACCGCATGAGCGTTGCATCGCAACTCTTCACAACTACCTTCATTTGGTTTACTGCCACAGCCGGGCGTTACATCGCCCAACAGCGCTGTGTCGTAGTCCTAGAACTTGCCCAACAGCGACGCAAAGACCGCCATGACCGTCCACAGTCGGTTCTCCGCCTCGTCAAAGACCAGCGAACGAGGTCCGTAGAACACCTGCGATCCAACAAGTCGAGACAGAATGCACCGCAACAACGACACCAACGACATCAACACGCACAATGTCAGCCCACCTGGTCAATCCAACAGCATGTGCACAATGCAGCAGCATCCACAGCGACATCGACATCGACGCGTATGACTCTGTCGTACCTCATCGTCCACCTCGTCCTGATGACGGGGCAAACAGTGCAAAAACACGTGGTCCGCGGCCGCATGCTCCAGCATCTTCGTTGTGACTTGGTAGCCGGCAAACGCGGCCAGGCGCTTTTTCGCCTCCTCCTCTTGGCCCATGCTGATCCACGTGTCCGTCGCCACGACGTGCGCGCCCTTCACGGCCTCGACCGGGTCCGTCGTCATGACCACCGTCGTGCCGGCCAGGGCCGCCAGCCGCTTCGTCTCGTCCACAACGTCCTGGTCGGGCTCAAAGCCCTGCGGCGTAGCGATCCGAATGTGCGCGCCCAGCTTCGGCGCTGCCAGCATGTAGTCGTGCAGCACGTTGTTGCCGTCGCCCACCCAGGCCAACGTGAGCCCCTCGATCTTGCCAAAGTGCTCGTACACCGTCAGGTAGTCGGCCAACATCTGCAGCGGGTGGAACTTGTCCGACAGCGCGTTGATCACGGGCACTGACGCCAAGTCGGCGAGCTCCTGGACGTCGCGGTGCGCGTACACGCGCGCTAGCACGAGGCTGTTGAAGCGCGAGAGCACGTGCGCCGTGTCCCGCAGCGTCTCGTTCACGCCCAATTGAATGTCTTCACTCGAGAGGAAGATGCCTTTCCCGCCCAGCAGGTACATACCCGTCTCGCTCGACAGCCGCGTGCGCGTGCTGCGCTTCTGGAAGAGCATCGCGCAGCTCTCGCCCGTGAGCGGCTTGGGCGCTGTGGCGTGGGCCGCGCCGGCGTACACGCGCTTGAGCTCTCGCGCCTTGGCGAGGAGCCCCGAGAGCTGCGCGCTGTCGAGCTGCATCGTGGACAGAAAGCTCTGTCCCTGAAGCGACGCGAGCTGCGCATGGACAGCCGCTGCCGAGGCGGAGGCGTCGAGGTGACTCATGAGGCGGTGGACTGGAGACGACCGGGGGGCGAGTCGACGAGTGAGCCGCGCGAGGGACATGGCTGGACACGGGCTGGCTGGCTGGCTGGGTGGCTGGGCGGGCAAGTGGTGGCGTGGACGTAGGCGAGACGCTCGGGCGGAGGAGGCGGAACGAGAGGCGCTGGTGTGGGGATGTGCGCGTGTGGGTGAGGAGATACAGGCGGGGGTCGGTTGGTTTGTTTGGCGGCGGAGCGAGCAAGTGCTTTTTATGACAAGTGGAAACGCGCGTTTTGGTTGCGGGGAGGGGGGGGGGGGCGGGATTGCTCGGTGGGCGGCCGTGTGGGCGGGTGTTGCGAAGGTTCTAGAAGAGTTCTGCTGCGGGAGGGTGGAACGATAGACCGCGTTGTCGTCTGAGGACAAGGGAAATCACGACAGGCCGCGAATGCATCAGCTTCGACGCAGGACGCGAGCAAGTTGAAGCGCCAGCCATGAGACTGATATAGACGAGCACGGGATCTGATATACAGAAGGGCTGGGCATTGGATTTGATCGTCAGGAACCCCCTTTTACGGTCGATCCGCGTGCTCGTGATCAATGAAGGCGTCGAACCGGCTTTACATACGGTCTAGCCGAACAAAAGTAGCGGTAAGAAATCAGCAGCAGCAAAGTACGCGCAACTGGATGAGAGCATTGCTTTGGAAACCGATTATGCTGCTTCGGAGCTAAGTGCAAGCAGCGCACATGAGTGTTTACTGACCTTCTCTTCATCAAGGTGCAGAGCAGTTTGGATTATTTCACTTGCTGTAACGAAGCGCCCAACGCCTGAGCTGATGACACAATAAGCTATCTATACTGACGACAGTGTAGACAGGAGCTTCCGCACCTCACGTACACTGAAGAGTGTAGAGAGTGCTTGATCGACTAAATGGAAGCTGTAACGGGGCACTACGCTTTTACTGCACACAGCACAAGCTGACCCAACCCAATGACATTGTAAGCAGCTACCACGAATTTCTCACGTACACGTACGTACAGAGGAAGAAAGTAGACCATCGAGAACAGAATAGTCGATGGTAAAAAGAAAACTGTCTTCACTCGATACTTCAGCTAATCGATAAGCTGTGATAGCTGTCCTGGCTCTATACTTTTAGTACAAACCCAACCGGCAACTATCTGCTCACCACCCAATGCGCGCGTCCATCAATGATCGGACGCTTTGTAGGTTAAATGGTCTATATCGGCCATTGAGCCAATGTCTGTGTATTATCGGCTACGATGATTTCCGCATTTGTAACGGGGCAGCCCGTTACATGGAAATTGTCATTAAAGAAACAATGACAATAAAGAATATTAAGTTGAATATTATTTGAACAATATCACCAAAGTGGTGATATTGAAGGGTCGACCAAAGAGTCTGTTCATTGGTTGATATCTTGATGAAATCAACCCACCAATCGCCGCAAGACGCGCGCAATGAGTGGTGACGAGACGTCACCATACACTCAGTTATATTAGCATAATTAAGTTAAGTCAAACAGAGAGACAGTAGTTAAAAGACTTAATTATATTAAAATAACAGTTCTGCTTTTACCTTTACGACGCTTCCTCGCTTGCCTTGTGTACGTCTGTCGGGGCACCCAAGCCCTTGCGTTAAGTTCACGCAAGGGTGTGCCCCGTTACACCTGGTAGCACTTTGTAGTCCTTCCAAGGACCACAACATCCAACATGAACATGTTGGATGATGAAGAGACCTTTCACGCCACGCGTGAAGGGTTTGCCCATTTGAGTGACATCGAATGGGGTGCGGCAGAACGAATGAGTTCTACCGTAGGCGAGTCCGCCATTAGCGCCATATTGGAGTCTCTAGACAGAGACCAACAACATGCCGCTATAGCCAAGTTCATCCAAAGTGAACTTGTCGCCGAAAGAGAGAAAGTAGCCTTGCTTCACCAGCAAGGCTCTCAACAGGCCGAGCAGTTGAGAGAACTCGGTGCTCAACAGACAGAGCTGTTGAGACAGCAGCAATTCCATGCTGCTGTG